TCGTTTATATCATATATAGGGACTCTATTCTTTTCGAGGCGGACAAGGACAGCTGTCTAGTCTTTCGGATGAGACGAAAAACCGAGGTCCCGTGTCTACATTGGAGTGGACGTAAAAGATCCCTTTGACAGATGGAATTCGATATAAGAGTAGGCCGTAGTGCCGCTGTCCGGGCAAAATTTCCCTCATCGCACAGTGTATGGCGTCTGCCCGTCTTCATTAGCCCAGTTCCAAGCAGAACAGTAGAACGTTAAAACTCCATTTCATTTCTTTTCATTTCTTGAAACTAGTTGGGAAGCCCCCCGGTCCCTACCCCATGCCCCCGGCTCCTTCAGCTATGGCTACGAGCATGATTTGCTACTATATTATCTTAGCCCGCTGCCACCGCTGCTTAATATTGAGCGACTTGTTTATTCGACTGGATTATTCGACTGAACTATTCGACTGGTTTATTCGACTGAACTTTTCGACTGAATTATTCGACTGGTTTATTCGACTGGATTATTCGACTGAACTAACTGACTGGTTTTATCGACTGGACGAGGCCACATGAAAATGTCAAATACCTCATCCCCCCACCCCCGCCCCACCCCATCCCCTTTCTTCGTTCATATCATATATAGGGACTCTATTCTTTTCGAGGCGGACAAGGACAGCTGTCTAGTCGTTCGGATGGGACGAAAAACCGAGGTCCCGTGTCCACATTGACGTGGTCGTAAAAGATCCCTTTGACAGATGGAATTCGATATAAGAGTAGGCCGTAGTGCCGCTGTCCGGGCAAAATTTCCCTCATCGCACAGTGTATGGCGTATGCCCGTCTTCATTAGCCCAGTTCCAAGCAGAACAGTAGGACGTTAAAACACCATTTCATTTCTTTTCATTTCTTGAAACTAGTTGGGAAACCCCCCGGTCTCTACCCCATGCCCCGGCTCCTTCAGCTATGTCTAAGAGCATGATTTGCTACCATATCATCTTAGCCCACTGCCACCGCTGCTTAATATTGAGCGACTTGTTTATTCGACTGAATTATTCGACTGAAGTATTCGACTGGTTTATTCGACTGGATTATTCGACTGAACTAACTGACTGGTTTTATCGACTGGACGAGGCCACATGAAAATGTCAAATACCTCATCCCCCCACCCCCGCCCCACCCCATCCCCTTTCTTCGTTCATATCATATATAGGGACTCTATTCTTTTCGAGGCGGACAAGGACAGCTGTCTAGTCGTTCGGATGGGACGAAAAACCGAGGTCCCGTGTCCACATTGACGTGGTCGTAAAAGATCCCTTTGACAGATGGAATTCGATATAAGAGTAGGCCGTAGTGCCGCTGTCCGGGCAAAATTTCCCTCATCGCACAGTGTATGGCGTATGCCCGTCTTCATTAGCCCAGTTCCAAGCAGAACAGTAGGACGTTAAAACACCATTTCATTTCTTTTCATTTCTTGAAACTAGTTGGGAAGCCCCCCGGTCTCTACCCCATGCCCCGGCTCCTTCAGCTATGTCTAAGAGCATGATTTGCTACCATATCATCTTAGCCCACTGCCACCGCTGCTTAATATTGAGCGACTTGTTTATTCGACTGAATTATTCGACTGAAGTATTCGACTGAACTATTCGACTGGTTTATTCGACTGAACTTTTCGACTGAATTATTCGACTGGTTTATTCGACTGGATTATTCGACTGAACTAACTGACTGATTTTATCGACTGGACGAGGCCACATGATAATGTCAAATACCTCATCCCCATCGCCCCCCTAACCCAACATATCATATATAGGGACTCTATTCTTTTGGAGGTGGACAAGGACAGATGTCTAGTCGTTCGGATGGGACGAAAAACCGAGGTCCCGTGTACACATTGGCGTGCACTTAAAAGATGGGGGCATATGGGCATGACTTTATTAAGCCGCGGTGGATAACACCTTAAAGTTTTAATTTGAACAATCAAATTTGAACATGAGGGGACGTAAAAAATAAACAAAAACAATGATAAAAGATATTGGAATTAGTGCGTTTTTTCTTTAACTTATACAGATTACAAACGATTCCAAAATTTTAATAAGCCATCGACCGGTTTATTCGACTGACTATTTGTTTTGGACTTAGGGTCGACTCACTATAATTGGGAGTTGTGACAAGTGTGTCTATTTTCTTTTCGAGCTGTTAATACAGGGGAGATAACTCTATTTTGAGTATTTTTATCAATCTTAACTGTAACTTGGGTAGCGTTTCGAAATTTTAAAGAAGTTTTCCTATTTGATGAAAATATAAAATATTGACTGTTGTCCTTTTATATCTAAGCAAGAAAAAGAAATAAAAGCAATTGGTACGTCCACCCCGACAGGATTCGATCCATAACTTCACGTTGTGTCCTTTACACAATTTAACTATAAGGGCATAGGGCTGTTTGATTTTTTTGTCTAATGAATTTGAAAGATTGCTTCATATCTTTAAAATATAGCGAGACTATTTGCTTACTCTTTCTAGAACATCTTATACCACTTATCATGGACTAAACTATTTCAATGGACATGGTTGGTTGGTTCCAGATTGTCTTTATGTAATATTAAAGAAATGAAACACAGTATGTACCACACGACTTTCAGTTTACAAACCAACTAATTGAAATGATGTTATTATCCTACTGTATAAGACATTTGGTACGTTTTACACACCTGGTACGTAGCTAACTAATTTAAATTTGATTAAATTATTCTAAGTTTATAGTAATGGGGTTTTTAAAGCTCAAGTTCAAATTTACGATGAATTTCCCGATTTCTGGGATATATAAAATAATATTCTTAATTTATATAATAAAATCAATCAACTATGGAAATTAATTTTTAAAAAATGATACAAAATCTTTGATTCATACGCAACATACGCACTTTAAAGCGATGCCGAACAAAGATTTAGAGAAAATAGTGAAATTTAATGGAATAATTCAGGGAGAATACGTTTTGCCGCTACTGCACCTACCGCTAGTAATTCCCGGCATTTGACTCAATGACAGACCGTATGACTCAACATACATTGCCAAGGAACATGAACATAATTAACAACAATCAGGACCAAATTAATAACCAACGAGTAAAGAAGAACGAGCATTAAAAGGGATTAATATTTCTTACAAAAAAGTTCCTGCCAAGTTTCATTCGATTCTATTCGCTAATGAGGTGTAGTGCTTGTGAGTCAACTGACGCAACCTCAACAACGAGAAGGCGATCCAAGATTTGGACATTTTATCCTTGCCATGGAAGTAACTGGTGATATAAGGATTACAGAAGTTTGTAGACTAACATGTGACTTAAAAAACTGAAAAGATGTTAATTTTTTTTCAATTTCATATCAATATTATGTGTCCCTTTAAAGTCATTAATATTGTCCTTTAATTCTTAGGATTCATTGTTGACATGGTCTAAGGGAGACAACTATGTTTTTATTCAATTATGAATAGTATAACATAAAACCTATTCTGATTGGCTATTCTTTGGCTATAAGTTGTTGTTCCCTTTATCCGCCATTGAACAATAATCAAACTGAAGTTTATATATCTTTTCTTATTCTTTTCACAGTGCGAACCCAGGGTATTGTTGGAAAACCCCTTACATTTTGGCGAGCTTACCAGGATACTATGTCAAGGTGGTTTAGAACTAAGAGAATTATAAGATGTCGATGACAGAGAAGGCTTCAAAAAAGAGTTCGAAAAAAACAGCTGAGATGGAGGAAAAGATATATGACATAAAAAAGAAAGTTTATTCAGCAACAAATGAAGTCGTTGAACAAATTCTTCAAGAACTTCAAATTGATCCTGGTGTTGATGGAAGTAAACCTTTCCAACTTTTAGTCACTATAGGCCTAGATAAGTTTATTGAGAGCATCCGCGGCTCAGAGAATCCATCTGAAAGAATTAATGAACCTTTGTCTATTGTACAAAAACACACAAAATCAAAGGTGTCAAATGTTTTTGAGGCTGATGTTGAGAATATTATTGAAATGGAATCAAATCTTGTCCGTAAAGTTGAGCTTGACCAATTGAATCAATCTAGTGTTCCGAATTGTACCGAGGGAGGCAAGATGGTAACAAAAGGCTCCACAGATTCTTTACAGCACCAGAAAAATTTCATTCAATTCTGGCACCATCAGAGTAGACGGAATAAGTTTTATTAATTTAGTACATCAAATTGAGGGGGGATTAGAAACGGTACCCTGAAAATGAAATCATCTGGGCAGTTGTAAAAGCAACGACTATCACCAAGAATTTGTCATGCCTGCTCCGAAACCAATTCAACTGCTAAATGTGAACATTGTTTTAACTGCGGTTCAAATGAACATTTTAAAGCTGGGTGTAAGAAGCGCTCGGAAACGGCAAAGGCTCAGTGCTGGGGGCAAGTCATTGAAGCCAAGGGTGTCTGCCCCATCGTTGTCGCGTACGTGCAACTGTGGTATAGGCAGTATTGCAGTATAGTATGCGTGGACTGCAACAAAGCTATATGTCGTAGAATTAAGCATCTTGAACATAATCCACAAGTATTTCCTTTATATTTATCTCCGCTTTCCCAACTTGACAAGGACAGATTGACAAAACATGTCGGTAAACGTTGCCATGTCTTGTGTTTGCTGGATAACCATAAGACAGAGGTTTTGTGGGATTCTGGTGCTCAGATTTGTTACAGGAGCCATTGTCGATTAAAACTGCAAATGGATCGGATATGCCATTTAAAGGGTACATCCCCCTTAGCTTTGAACTTTTGAAATCGGGTCATAATCAGAAACTATATGTGCCATTTTTAGTAACAGATCAAATAAATGAACCAATCATTGGATATAATGACAATGTCATTGAGAAATTTATGAACTTAGAAACTAATGAACATAAAAATATTGAGACTATTCTATCTGGAATACCCACATTGAAAACTGAAGTATTAACTGCATTAGTGGATTTTATTTCAACAGAAAAATCTGATGAACTTGGTGATGTAAAACTGGGAAATCATGGTGTGAAGATACCCAGCGGCACCACTATTGAAATTAAGACTGTTGTCAAACTTGGTTTGAGGGACAATATTCAAGCATTGTTTGAGCCAAATATTTCGCAGGAAATACTGGAAGGTGTGTGTATTGAAGGAAGTGTTGTTAATCTCAAGAAAGGGCCAACAACAAAGGTTGCTGTTTATGCCACAAATGCTACGTCCAGGAGTATATCACTGAAGAACAAACTTCTTCTTGGAAGTCTTCATTCAATTGATGAATTGATACCAGTATTAGAAAATACCGAGACCAGTAGGTTGGTACATTCTTGTTCGGTTCAACAATCAAAAGAACCCAACCCCCCACACCGAGAAGATTTATGGCACCCACCTGTTGAAATTCAAAACAATTTAACACCAGGACAACAGGAACAGCTTCGTAACCTTCTGCACGAGGAGTCGTCTGCATTTGCAAGACAACATGAATTTGGTAATGCTAAAGATTTACAGTTAGAAATTCGTCTCACGGATGCAGAGCCTGTCCAGCAGAATTACATTTCTATCCCGAAACCAATGTATGAAGAAGTGAAACAATACCTTAATGACCTTCTTCGACGTAATTTCATCAGAAAGAGCCATTCTCCATACCCTAGTGCAATGGTGATTGTCAGAAAAAAAGATAAAACCCTTAGACTATGCATTGATTATCGCCGCATCAACCAGAAAACAATACCTGACCGTCAACCTATCCCCAGAATACAAGATGCTCTGAACAACTTGAAGGAAAAGTCAACGTGACTAGATTGAAGAAAAAACATATCTGAGTGAATCGACAGAGGTTTGATTGCCTGACATTACGAATTGTTGAAAAAAACGAGCCGAAGCGAGAGCAGGTAAAATCGAGTCTTCAACAGGCATTACATTCCTGTTCTTTTTTATTATATATTGTCTGGTTGGACATGGTGTATGCATATATATATATATACAGATAGAAGGTCGACCCCTGTGATTAAACAGACACATCCCTGTTGTATAGGCGTTGAGGATTAATAGTTCATATAATTTTATTTAAGGCCCACTAGACAAGATCAATGCCGTTAAGACTCGGGAACCTAGAGTTGTGAGAAACTATAGAAGGGAAATTAGGCATCCAGTTGGGGATCAACGTGTACCTAATGGAGAATCTGAAAATGAAGGTAATGAGATTCGGGAAATCTGATACAACGCACTACCATATTATGGTGTTCCAAATGGACGAAATTCAATTAAAGATACATTATGGTGGATTAGATAACGAGCTGGCAGTTCTCACTATAATACTTAAAAAACTAGATAATGTAAAGGGCAATATACTGAAAATTTCAGTCAAATTTACTAACAATCTGATTAAAATACAGACCTATAATTCGTTTCGTTTTTTTTTATACTATCGATGGCCTATACTACGTGATGGTTGTACTGGAAGGTCCCGTCAGGGGTCGTACGAGCGGCTTTGACCCTATGACGTCAGACATTGATTAATCAATCAGCGTTGACGTTTCCAGTGGTTTACCCACATTTCCGTTCATCGAAGGCCTACAACTCGCCGTAACAGAACGTTTCAAAGGCTTATCCCTCACATCAACCAGAACACGTCAATGATAACAACTCTTCCCGATCCTAGTGTAGTAAAGACAAGTAAAACGAAATTTTGAACTATAAAAAAACGAAACGAAATAGGATCAGATTGATTTACTAACTAAGTATTTCATAATTGAATGTTGAGAGTCTTTGAAATTTAAAAATATAACCGTACAACCATTGTTTACGTCATATGTCGTTCTTAAGGTCTGTGTTATTGTTTCTATATTTACAGGATTAGCGAAGCTACGACGAGAAAATAAAGAATTAAAAGAACGGCAATTGTGTAAAATCTGTTTAGATGCTGATAATAATATGGTACTCCTTCCATGTAGCCATACTGTTGCATGTGAATCATGTTCTTCCGTTTTATTCAAATGTCCGCTATGTCGTGAAGCTGTTCATGGAAAGTTAAAAATCAACAGATAAACTTATTTTGTTAGGTTTAAGAAATACATAACTTTATAGTTATTGATTGTTTAATTGAATTAAAAAGTTTATTATATTTAGTAGCATTGGGTCTGGTATAATAATACCTGGATATATAGTTTTCACCTTCTGTAATGAAATAAGTACAGTTGGATAACTAGGGATATTCATCGCCGACTGTCTTTAATTCACATAAAGGACAAATTCTTTTTTCAAAATCAACATTCATCCTTTTGTCCATTTCTGGGGATTTCAATGGGTGGATTGCAGTTCTTATGTCTATGATTCATTCAATGATTGTATTTGTTGCTGTGTCTGTGATTTTAAGTTAGGAGAGAACTAAGGGATCAATTTATCTTGAAATCTAATTTTGGTTGAAAAACTGCTGTTGAGTCAGCTGCTGTGCGTTTGTGCAGAAAGATTGGATGTTACGATTTTCTATTCAAAATGACAATTTGGCATAAAGAACGCTATATTACCAAAAATCGATATAAATGATTATGATATGCGTTTAAATAAAATGGTGGATTTGGGTCGACTTGGGTGGATGTGGGTGAATCTTGCTACCAGTTCATTAGTACTATCAACGGGCATTTCGAAGATTTTACTATGTAATGACAAAGCACTAGGATAAGATATATTAATTTTAAACGTACTAATCTGTATGGAATATAAATATATCAGCGATACCACCCTCGGTGGAAGCGGACAGTAAACCCCACGATCGAACGAACGGTTGGAACAAGAATGCACTTTTTAAAATAAATGTCTAAACAGCCTTTACTTCGACAGTCACCGATTGACATTTCCCCCGCTTTTGCGTGGCCATCTTTATTTTGGGGTCTTGAATCGAGAAAGAGAGAATTAATTTAATTTTTTAACAGAGATAAGAGGTTGTTTTCGGTCGTATTTGCGGCATATAAGTACCCCTTTGCTTGTATGCTAGGCCTCACTTCAACGTTGTGTATCTTATACAACCTCGAAAGCAAAGAAAGACCAGGAAAGGATGGAGTACGACAAAATCGAAAATAACGGACTTCAAGCTCAATTAAAAACTAGTTGGTGGTCTGTATCCGTGTCAAAGCGCTTTTAGAATGTAGTTACTTCCCTTAGATAAAGACCTACGCAATTCGACTACAGCCACTACAACAATATTGAAGCTATTTTATTTCAGACACAGAAGTTACAATTAGAGTATTTCAAAGTTGAGTTCATTTTTTTTTTGAAAAAAAAAAAAATGTTTCATTGCTCCTCAGGGTAAGTTTTAGAGCGACTTGGTTGAGCGACGATGTTATACATGAAATGACATGAGGTTTAACGTCCAGCCTTTCTGTCAAATTTATGAAATGTACAGTATTGGAACTTAAATAAATCTAGCAACTATTGTGATTATGGAAAATACATAAATTATCCGCATTAAGCATCTATATACCATTAGATTACATTTGTCTTTAAGAAACATTTAAATAATACCCAGCATTCTTCCGCGTACTTTAAAGTTAACATGAAGGGACAAATCATAGGCAATATGCAGTAGGCGTTAGAATCTGGTTGGAACTCGGGATTTTGATCTCATCCGAGCGACAAGACATCAATTTCCTCGTCAGTCCCCAAGTCTCTACCCCTGACAAGTAGCGAGAGGGAGTCAGACAGACAGAGAGAAATGGGGTTTAGCGTCCACCCGACACAAACAAGGTCATTTCGTGATTATCATAGTAATTTCAGTAATTCGCTTGTGCGTAAAGCGGCCCATACACGTTCAACAAAACCATCAATATTATTGACCCAATATATTGACTCGATTTATTGACTCAATAATATTGACGGGAATTGCCCACACACGATTCAATATTTCCATCAATAATTTCATCATTTTTTAGTCTTTTTTCAAAATGGATGCAGCGGTTGACGAAGAAGAACCATGAAAAAAACCGATGGAATGAAAATATTGACGCAATTATTGACAGATTCTCCACACACGATCAATATTGTCATTCAATAAATTGACCGTCATCAATAAAAATCAAAATGGTTTTGATCCGTCAATATTATATTGACGCAATGATGGTTATTGACAATATTTTACATCAATATAGCCCACACACGTTCAATATTATTGAGTCAATAATATTGACAGAATTATTGAACGTGTATGGGCCGCTTTAGGGTCTTTACAGAGAAAAAAACTGGGAGATCCGGAGAAAAATCACGAGGTAGGTCATGCGATCCTACTTCTTGTCATGTACAAGCGGGGAATCCCGAAACCACAATACTTGACTCAATGACAGACCTTATGATTTAAACCATTTGACCACCCCTCACCGCCCCCCCCCCACCCCCTGTGTAAAGTTAGAATAATTTGATTCTCTAATCACTCGAAACAAAGTACTTACATCAAAAATCTTTTTTTAAAAACGTCCATCTTTATAAACTGGAAAAAAAGAGATCTATTATAAAAAATATGTTTAGAATTTGGAAGAAAATGATATAAATCGCTGGCGGCTTGTTAAAGAGACGGCACGTGTATTTCACGTGCAGTGCGCGAGAAGAAAACACGGGTTTAATTTTTGTGACAGAATTAGGAGTAAGATGATCTTGGAGGAAGTCAAATGCGACTTGTCAGTTAGAGAATACAACACCTCAATAAGTCGCTGTTCATTGTTTTTACTGTCAATTGAACCTTGTTAAGTTTTGTAAGGTTTTGTCTCTGGTTGTAAGAGACACCGTGTTTAACATGAAACAGTCGGAGTTTCTTCTAATTAATCAACTTAAACATTGTATCACTTCAAACATCTGTTCATTTTAAAAATCAAGATAAAAATATCAAATATCCTAAACATAATTCATACTAAAAATATAAAAATATTGATGAAATATAAAAATATGGATAAAATTATCAAATATCCTAAACATAATTCATGGTAATATTAAAATATTGATAATATATAAATATATAAAAATATTGATAATATATAAAACAACAATAAAATATAAAACAAAATCAAATATCCTAAAGAATAATTCATACTTAAATATAAAAATATTGATAAAATATAAAAAAAAATATTGGTAAAAATAAAAGTATTGATCAAATAGTAGGTAAAGTCAGATCAAGACTCTATTTGATTTAAGAATCTAAATTTTAGGTTTCTTCTTAGTAACGATGATAAAAGTAAAATACTATATTTCATCTAAATATGTTCTTAATTAAGAGGGAGTTAGTACGTAGATCATAGTAAAAAAAAAACACAAAAAAACAACACTATTTACGGATAACAGTCGCCCTGAAAACTAATGTGAAATTGTTCTTTTTTTATTTTATGGGGACAGAGAAATTTTGACTGGATTAATTTGTCAACGAGACACTTCGTTAAACAAATAACAACCAATGCGCATCATTAACGTCGAGAAAATAGAAGTTCGGGAAGCAATCGTCCGTCGTTCGGTTCTTTCCGGATTAAGATAAAAGATCGTGGGTTAAACATTGACTTAGTTTTATGACGGAGAAAGGAGGATATTAACTCACTTAAACTTCTCCTCGTCTGGTTACAAATTTATATTTATTCTAAGACCGTTGATTAATGGCGAGTGAAAATGTTTAATTACATGATTTTTATACATCTTAATGTCAGTTCTCGTGTTTGTTTGTTTAATAACAATGAAGACAAGCCTACGTTTTTTGTGGATGTGCTTTAAACGGATACGGAACCGTGACTTAGATTAACTTGTCATCGGGTTCATTCATTCTTAAAATAATAATTCGGCAGAAATTATTAGGCCTACTCGTTTTATTATCTCTCGAGCCAGTCATATTATAACGTGTTAGTGTACTTTAGTCGAGGTCTGATGGAAATGTTTTGAATGTTTTTTTTTAATTAAGAACAATTTCAGCCAACCCAGACCGCACCAAGCATGAGCTATATGTGTCATCATGGTTCATATTTTAAAGATTTAAATTTTAAATTTAAAATGAATACGGCCCAGACTTGATAGACATTTGCAGGATATTTTATTTAGTTAAACCGGGCATTATTAGAATAATTCAGACCAACACATCCGTGTGATTCGTCTGTTAATTTAGTTTAAACAATATTTTATTCAATTGAAAAGGATTGAACATCAGGTAAAGCCTATATAAGTTCTTTCCCAGGGATACAGAAAATAATAAACGATAAATATAACATATACATAAAAATAAGATTAAATGAAATAAAACCGAACATATATACAGTTTCGTGTGAAAATGATGTATTCGAAATATAGTTGATGTAATTATTTGATATTATACAACAATATGTAAGAGCGAACCTAAAACTTTTGGTACTTTTTATAAAATTTATGGACTGCTTCAAAAATCAAAATATTAGAGCTGTTCGAAGGGTCTATAGAGCCATTCAAAATCAGATCTAGATTAATAGTTTCTGTGAATACCTTTAATGAATTTAATAGGTCGACTTTTAAAGGCTCAATACCACTCTTGTTGTAACTGAATAATATGTCCCAATCTTTATTCTGGTCAACAAATTGTACTATTTTACAATATTCCAATTAATTGATGATACAAATTTCATCTTAACACACCTAATTTAAAAAATTGGAAAAATTCAACTAAATGATTTGAAAAGCCTGACGTAAAGCTTTTCAAATGTTACTTGGATTTAAAAATATTTTTGAACCTTCTGGACAAGTAAAATAGGATTTAATGGATAATTTACACAACAGGTAGGACACTAACACATCTAGTACTTTGAATAAGGCTATTTTTTTATTTTCTGAAGCTGTCAAGCCAGCAAGAGTGTTATTGTCCCTTTAAAGAGATAAACTAAAATAAATAATTTATTTATTAATTATTAACACCCACCCTCACAGAGGGGATATCGCAAACACGTGTACTGTGTGAAAATTCTACAGGCTTTTATATTTGCATGCATATAAATTTGAAAATGATTTCTGAATTGTACCAGACGTTATGAATAAATAAATAAATGAATATTTGAATGTTTAAATGGTTAGCACGTGCGCGCTGTATCATAAGGTCTGTC